ATATCATCACATTTTTATATTAGTGCTACCAGTATTACAACATTAATATTCTAACTTATTTGTAACATTTGAACTTTTGATTTAGTGCAATATTTTGTACTGCCATTAGGGACTGCCAGTGAATGGCTGTTGCATGCATAAAATGCAACCTTTTTATTCTGACAGTGTATGATTTCTATTAACAATACAGAATAGAACATGATCAATATTATCTTTCAACCACAATTTAAATAACTGTAATTGCACAAACTATGCAGGCTACAATTTCAGTTTGTTTATTGTGAAATAACTCTGTCCTTCTGTCCTCTGATAAGCATTGCTCTGCCGTTCCCAAAAGCTTTAATGCTTTCTTATGACACTTTTGGGAAAAGCAGCCCTGTTTGAATGTGCTGTCAGAAGTGAGTGAACGCTCTCTGTGATTGATTAGTTCTGTCTTGCAACATTTGCGTGTGTTCAGATGAGCAGAAAAATAGTTATATCCTACACAATTACTCGCTAACAAAGGTTATTCGTACAATGCAATGCATAGTACGTATTATTATTATTTTTTTGTTCAATTAAAAAAGTCACTGGTAAATAAAACACACATTAGAATCGATATTTTTGTTTGAGTATCGATACTTTCGATACTCGCGTCAGTATCGATATATGGATATTTTGGATCGATACGCCCATCCCTAGCCCAGTGCAATTCATTAACGTGTACACGATTTGAAATATTCGCAAATGTGCGTCACTACACTGAAACAAATACTTTTCAACCGGTGTCTGCAGAGTTAAGAATTACATTCATGTGCAGCATTTTGTTAAAATAGAGACATATTTGTGAATACAAATATTATAGTTTGTATTAACGTATCATAATTTGTGCATGTAGCGATTAAAATGTGCATTTGTGGATCAGGCGACACTCGTGCATTCATTCACGTCTCTTCGATCCGCCCCGGAGTCACCATAAGCTCCGGAACGGATCCGCAAAACGGGTCCGTATCGGAGTCCCCTTGCACAGCGCAACGGATCCGGAACAGATAAGGATTACGGATTCGGACCGGATCCGGTCCAGACCCTACCCGTATCCGCTAATAAAGCGGTTCATCCGGCCCGGATCCGATCCGGACCCGTTCATGAAGTAGCTCATCCGGCCCGGATCCGATCCGGACACGTTGATAAAGAAACGGATCCGAACCGAATCCGATCAGGACCCGCTGGTTATTTAAAATGGGTAATCTGGCCAAAACTAGCTATGGAAATACCTAAAACCTAAAGTCTCCCTTTATTAATATTAATAAACCATAAAATCATTCAAAACTTGAAAATATCTCAACTTTCCTTGCCCAGTAATAATGAAACACTCTATAAAAAGTAGGTAATTACATAAAGAAAAATAAAATGCACCCACAAATTGTACAAAAACATTGTTTTATTTAATGAAAAACTTTACCTATAAAACGACAATTCAGTTCAATAACTTTGTAAAGTTAATATTTAAGAATGAATTAGTTAAATTCAGCCATAAGGAATTTTATAGCACACAAAAGTTTCATTATTCACTTTGTGTCAGCTTGATGTTGATTTAATAAAATTCAATATCAGTGAAAATGTTGCAAAATTAATACATTATGAAACAAAGTCGATTCGGCAGTAAAGCAGCTCTGGAGAAAACAGTGATATCATAATTCAGCTCAATTCGGTTCAAGTCTTGTCATTATGCAATAGTGTCAGTACAATCAAATCAATATTATTCTTGAATATTCAGTGTCTTTTAAACCGCAGCTAAGCAAGGATTATGATTTCAGGCTGCATCACTAGTGAGATTGTGTACTGATGTCATTCAGAATACTTCATCCAACTCCTACTGCTTGAAAATCAGGTCACGCTGTCATTTGATCAGAGGAGAAATTGTAGTCTGTCCAGCAGGGCTGCCGTTTAGCCAGTAGTGGACGACTGGATTAACAGTGACTAGAAGCAGGATAAAACTGCATTGTGGTCCTAGCAGCTCCTGGCCTGACACGTTCATTGCTGGCCATAGGGATCTGTGCAGAGGACTTGTCTGTTTCTCGTGGTCTTTGCTGAGGATCTGTGCTGATGTCAGTCCAGTCGTGATGTTCAATTGTTGTGGTCTTCACTGACATTCAGGGCTGCGTTGTGGTCGTTTCAGGGTGCAGGTCCATCATCTGATCTGGATACGGACCGGATCCGGCTGACTATGATAACCTTAGGACAAGAGTGCGACAAAAACATTGAAATAAGTAACAAGTATAGGTGTTGACTTTTTCTCACAGCACCTGTAATCACACAAGCACATTTTCATACAAAATTTCATGACATCTCATAGCAAAGATTACTGTTAAATGTAGGACGTAAAAGTAGGCTAAACTCTATTTAATCTTACTTTTAAAGATGAAGTAGAATATCGAATGTTGATGTAGAATCAAAAACCAGTTTGGAGCACTTGAATGAGCTGGAAAGCTGCAACAGAACACACACACACACACACACACAGTATCTTAGTATGTTTTAATTTCATATAAATTATATGAAACAACATTACAAGAGGTGGGGAATATATTTGTAAAGAAAAATAGACACAAACTAGTATACCACAACCAAAGATTACTGTTAAATGTAGGCTGTAAAAATAGGGTTATAAACATTTAACCTTAAATATAGAGAATGGGAATCTACTTCATGCCGCATTGCATTCCGCCATGTTTTAGGACACGCTCTGGAGCACACAGTGTAAACAAACGCTAAACACCACAGAAAAAGCCGACCGTTTTACATTAATATTTTTTTTAAAACATCTTACATACCCTTAGAATAAAACAGACTAATATGTAAATCTCTTTCAATTAAAATAAATCGCTCTGTTGTGTGTCTTGAGAGGCTGCAGATATTCATTACATAGTATTCAGTCTCCTTCACTAAAGTGGTACTGATATAACTGCTAAAACACTTACGAAAATTAACCATGGTTTTATTATAGTAAACGTGTAGCAACCGTGTTTTTGCCATATTTGTTACCATTCATATAACCACAATTTTATTAGAAATACCATGGTTGAACTATGGTTAGAGTAGCAAAACCATGGCTAATTTTGTAAGGGGAGAACACAGTGTAGCTAGATCTCAAACGGGGGATAATTTATCATTGTTATATATCGCCATATTGCCCAGTAAAACTGCTCAGTGTAGCGCCCCCTACCCTTAACCTTTAATAGGGCGGAGCACCAGGTTCTGACACTGTGTCTCCCGACTATATATTAATATTCCTCCTATTACCCTATTTGGCTACTGTAACCCAGATTAACTAGGTTTATCCTCCTACAGTAATATTCCTATACAGCATGGGAATTAAACCAACAGGGGGCCTAGAAAAACAGCAAATGGCCTCTTCACTCGAATGAGCCAAAACCAATCAAACAGATCACCTGAAACCCCTTTTTAAGGCAGCTGAAATCCGTGATCCTCTCCTTGGAAGCGATAAAGTCTGTAAGGAATTACCCAAATGTCTGTGGTGTATTTTACTTTGGATAAATACCTATTTTAAAAAACGGTTCAGTGCTTACAGCCTTATGAAAATGACATTTAACTCAAATTAATGAATTTCACATTAAAATGGTACTCTATTAGCAACAAAAATAACAGCAGACACAGTATGAAAGAGATTAGGAAAATTATAATACACTTAGGTTGTTTCAATAACACCGAACAACAGTATGAAACCCCAAACTTCACTTACTGCATGTAAGTAGAACATAAAAGATAATAACCGTCAATATATATATGTGGGCCCACACACACTCAAAGCCACACAACCCACCCCGTTGCAGGCCTGTAACGTTGCTGGGGAGCGTGGGGGCCTAGAAAACAGCAAATGGCCTTTTCACTCAAATGAGCCAAAACCAATCAAACAGATCACCTGAACCCCCTTTTTAAGGCAGCTGAAATCCGTGATCCTCTCCTTGGAAGCGGCAGATCGTCCTGTAGTGTCTCAGGCAGTCAGCAGGATGG